GGAGAGAAATCCCACCTTGTGCCTCTGTTTCAGGAAAGCCTGAAATGTTCTGCTGTTCCCCGCGCCATCAGCCACTAAGGTCTCTAGCTACTCTGAAGACTGTATAGAAGATCTAACACAAGAAACCCCGGGCAAGTGTGAGGTGAGGCTTTGGACAGTTTATCCTCCACGTGCTGGAGAGTCAGCACTTCCAGCATTTGCAGAGGTGGGTTCAGACAGGTCCCAGGAAGGATTCCTGAGTCCTGGGGGAATTTCTCCTGCACCAAAACCTGAAGCCCAGACCACACCTGGTGTTCCTGCACACATCCCAGAGAGCAGGGAAGAAAAGCCATCCAGACCAGCATCCACCTCGCAAAACAGCCGACACCAAGGTGTTCCCCTTTGCAGGTCACTGCTCAAAACCAGGGTATGCCCTGCTCCAGGCTGCTTCTTCTAATGACATTGTCATTGGGAGGTAGGTATCACTATCACGATGCTCTGACTCCTTTCTAACCTTCCTTGCAAAGCACAGGCTGCAATGGAGAGTAGATGGACCATCCCATAAGCTGTACATGGCAAAACAGGGTTTATTATTGACATGAAAGTATACATTGTTTTTACAATGCAGAAAACAGCCTTATACTTGTACTGATTTTGAAAGTTAAATGTACAGAAACTGATTATTACAGAGCTACAAGATGTCAGAAATAGTGGTAAGTCCTTTAGCCATGAGCAATTTCCACGGAGTAAGCAGAGATCATTTTAAAATCTTATTGGTACATATGTGCATACCTGATTTCCTTTGATCATTATCCAAAAAACCCCCCAACCCCATGCTAGTTTCCCCTTGACTACAGTGGTTCAGTCTTATGCGAGAATTAATGGTATTTACAGGTTGTGAGAATCACTTTTGCTTGCTGAGATGTAAGCAAGGATGTGTTCGATCGTTTGCCTTGTAAGTGGGGAGATAACGTCCTCAGCAGACCAGGATACGTCTCCAGCTTGGTTGGAAATGCAGGGACTAAAAGCAACCTGCCTATATCATGAGTGCGTGGAGGGATTCTCTGATGACCGACTTGTGAAGGAAGCAAAGGTTTCTCGTAGCCAACACGAAACGCCCGCCCCACCTTCGGGTACTTTTGGTAGGTAAATGACACCTCTGTTAGCAGCCAAGCCCCGAACGGGAGACAAGCTCTCCCGGCTGTCCTCACTAGCCTGTTGTCGGTCCTATTCGTTTATAGCCAAACACTTGCAGTTTTCTTTCCAAAGCTTTGTCTGTGCATCCTCACAAAAAGCTAGCCAACCCACTCTCTCAAAAGCCGCTCCGTTCCTCATCTTCAATATGGGAACAGCCACATGCTGAGCTGAACGCCCTGGCTAGGATTCCCTTCTCCCCTGACCGCCTTGCACTGTGCTAAGATATACCCTTCTACTGAAAGTAAGTGTTTATAAGGCACCTTTTTAGCTTAGTATTTATGAAATACACACAGGCCCTTAACAAGACCCATAGTGCATGAAGTCAAAGGCCACGGATTCATTCAGGGTAGCGTGGGGGCAAAATTGAACCATGTGCTTTAGTTCTATGAAGTCCTACGTCCTCACCCTCTTTCGTCTCTCACTGGGGAAAGGGGTCGCTTTCTACCCTCTGCCACATCCATCCAGTCCTGCTCCGTTCCCCTCGTTAATACTATTTTTGTTACAAAACGTGCCAGCCACAAAGACTGTTTTGTTAAATCTCGGTAAGAAGAAACTGGGATTCATCCAGCTCTTTGCGGTGTGGACTCTTCCCTGGGAAAACTCTACTGCCTTGAAGCCATTAGTAAGTGTTTTAATTCATCTTCCCTTGTACGAAGCCCAGGGTGAGTAGTGAAGAGCTTAAATAGGTTTAATCACAGCGACACAGGCCAATTTTACAACCCTATCTAATGGAGAAGGCAGCATGCTGTGAGCATGGAGCTGATCAAAGCCAAAGCAGCTGCTTGCCACGCTGGCTACTGCCCATGGGAAGGGATGTCGTGGTGGGCTCCCCTGCATGGTCTGATCCCTGCACCAGACCCCGGTGCCGCTCGGGGCCCAGCACCCAGCTGCAGGGAAAGGAGAGGCCTCATCCTGACACGCTGGAAGCGCAGGTGAAGAAAGATCAGCAGGGGGGAAAAAGGTTGGTAATAGCAGACCGAATGTGGCCTGGGGCACGGTGCCCATGCCAGCATCTGTGGCGGATGGCTTCTGCAGGGAGCCCCGTCTTCATGAGCATTGTGTCTGTCCCTGGCGTGTTCCTCGCTGACAGCAGAAGCTGCATCGTGCTTCTCGAGTCCCCTCAAGTAGCAGCTGGGCACAGAGACCAATGCATGTGCATTGGCCGTCTCTCTACCTTGAGATGAAGGGGGGGCAGCTCATCCTCCTCCCCTCCCCTCCCCATGCCAGTCATTTCTGCATGTCATTATGCAAATCTGAGCCGTGGGGGCCCTTGGGTGATTTTGTGTTTTTGTTTTCCAGGGTCCAACAAACGTCTCCTCCACAGCCAGCCACGTGGATGGGGCCTGGGATGGAAAAGCTTTGCTGAGAAAGGGGCTTTTATTGTATCGGATCAAGCCAGCCCATGGGGAGGGTGGTTCCAGCGTTAACGAGAAACAGATGGGATCGTTTGCAAAAAAAAAAAAAAA